GCCTGCAGCCTCGGGCGTGGGCCGGCTCGATCGTCTGCGAGCCGCCGGCGCGCGCCACTTTGCGCCCTCGCAGGTCGAGTTCGCGGCCATTCGGGTAACGCTCCACACCGCAGACGGCGACGCTCGAACCACTGAGCTGAGCTGAACTGTTTTCATCGGTGCACAGATGGACATTGGTGCGGTCACCGCGGCGCGGCGATGAAAGAGGGCATGCAGCAGAAGGAGATCGACGGCCGCCAACTCGTCGCTCTTGGCCGACCGATAAGAACGCCCTCAACGTCCTCAACGTGACATGGGGCGCGGCAGCTTCACCGTCTCGGCCGCATACAACAACTGCAGCTCGTCGTCGACGCCACCTCCCACATTGGTCGCCACCACATCCCACCCACCGGAGGCGCGTCGTCGGGTCCGCACGGATCATAGCGCGGCGGCAGCGCCGGGGCGACGGCTGCGGCCCAGGCCGGCGCCACCCTGCGACGGACCAGCTTCTCCAATGCGCCGGGCAATGGCCGCCACCACGACTCCTTCGACGATCGCGTCCACCACCACCACCACCACCACCACCACCACCACCACCACCGGCTCAGCCCCCCCCGAACGCCGTACGTGTGTCGTGTGTCGTGTGTCGTGTCGTTGGTCGTGTCTTCGCGAGTGCTGTCTTGATGATGTGGCTCTGTGCTCACTCGCGGGCGGACGGTGCAACGCAGATGCGTGCGAAGCGGACGCGCGTGCGATTATGCGGTGTGTGCGTGTGATGAGCAGACAAGGAGGGCGACTCTACGGCAAGCTGTCGTCGTGGGATGCCTACGCGCCCGTGAGTACGGCGGCGCTGGTGCTGACCCTGTGGGACGACATCGACTCCGCTGCGCCACAGCGCCTCCACGGTGCTCGCCGCCTTCCCCTCGCCCCTGCCCGGCTTCTCCGACGACCCGGCCAAGTGGCCTCGCTCATGCGCTGGGCGCTCTGGATGATGAACTCGCCGCCCCGCGTACGCCTTACATTCCACCACGCACATTCCTTTCCAATGGTCAGCTGCAGTCACTCACCGTGTGGCGCGTGTCGTGTCGTGCCGTGCCGTGCCGTGCCGCGTGTGCAGACCCGGGAGACGGATACCGGGCTGTCTGGTGTTCAGGCTCATCCTCACCAACTAGTATGTGCTGCCCCTGGGCCGGTACACATCCAGGTGAGGCGAGGAGTCCGTCACGCCGCATCTGGCCCACTCGCCCTCCTTCAACCCGCACGAACGAATGTACGCCACAGAATTATTTATTTATTGATTATTTGGTGTCATTTCAATTATTATTATTATTATTGAGCGGTTTAAGGTGGCGCTCACTGAGCCAGGCGTGTGTACACATCGCAGTCGCAGTTCTTCTTCAGCGAAACGATCAGTCAGCTGGAGCGCCACATCGCGTGCGCGTCGGTGGACCACCTGGTGCGCAGCGCATGCCCATCACGTGTCCGCGAGCATCAGCCCCCGAGGGCCTCACCTCCGCCCAGACCATCCCCGAGGTCCGAACTCACCGCTCGCACCTCCACACCAGCGCACCGCCATATCTGACGCGTGTCGCGTCGTGTGTGACGTGTGTCGTGCGTCGTGTGTCGTGTGTCGTGCGTCGTGTGTCGTGCGTCGTGTGTCGTGCGCCCAGGAGTATGAGGTGAGTGGCGTGATTGAGGGCGAGAGCGACATCGAATACCGGGACGCCGCAGGGTCAGTACCTGGCGGTCTGCGCATGGCTCTCCATCAAGGAGGTGGGCCTCCTGCTCGGCTCCCTCGTCAACGCCGTGCCCGTGCCCTCGCCCAATCAGAAAAGAGGTAACAACCCTCCTCGCCGCCCCATTGGGCGCCGCCTTAACATCCCATAATTGGTCGTCTTTCGATCGAAAAAATGAAAAACACTCACGAGGTGGTGGTGGTGGTGGTGCAGGTGGGTGATGGCCGAGAAGGGCATCAAGGAGGCCGGCGACCTGTGCATGCATATCATGCTGTCCTCGCGCCACAGGGGCGCCCTGGAGAAGTCGTACCTGGGGGCTTCCAGCCCCTCTCCGAGAACCTCCTGTCCTGCGCCCACCCCGGGCTCTACTCCCTCCCCGGCACCTGGATTCAAGTACCTCTTCTCCACCGCACGCGCACACAACACACACGCGCACGCACACACACACACACACACACCACACGCTAATAGCATTACGTTGTGTGTGGCGTTGTGTTGTGGTTGTGCAGCACTTGTTGAAGGTGATTGAGAACGACGACTTCAAGTCGATCACGAGGCGCAGCGCGGGTCTGCCCTACTGCTTCTGCGCCATCCTGCGGGCCGAGACGATCGTTCTCGGCCGCCGGCGGGGCGGCGTGAAGGCCCTCATCGCCCAGGCCATGCAGGCCCTGCTCCGCATCGCCTCCGGCGGCGACACCCGACAGCTCGATACCCAAGACGTGCGCACCACCACCGCCACCTCACCATTTCCGGCCCGACTCCTTCATAGCGCTTGCTGACGTGGCGTGTGTGTGTGTGTCTCATGTGTGTCGTGTGCGGTGGTGTGTGTCGTGCAGGCGAAATCGGAGGGCGTGGAGTCGGTCATCGGCGAGCAGGCCCATCAGGTCCACGCGCTGAACGTGCTCAAGGCGCTCTTCAGACCAACAAGGCCAACAAGAAGGTGAAGCCCGGCGAGGGCAGCCGGCCTCAGCTTTCGCCCGAGGCCTTCATCCCACTGGTCGCGCCAAGTGCAGCGCCAACTCCAACTTCAAGGTGCGCGAGATGGCGGCCCGGGCGCTGGTGCCTCTCGTCCCTCCCGAGCACGTCGCCGCCTTCATCGCCTCCCTCTTCGCCTCCCATCCCCGACCACGCCGGTACCACCTTCTTTTGTTTATTTTTATTATTCATCATTCCTTTTTATTGTGCATGTAAGGTGGCGATCGAGGTGTAGAGACACTACTGATCCTGTGTGTGATGGTGTGGGTGCGTGTGTGTGTGTGTGTGTGTGTGCGTGCGTGTGTGTGCGTGTCACCAGCGGGCATCGACCACAACCTGGCGCACGCTGCTCCAGATCCGTGCCACATTCTCGAGGCCCACCTGACCTCCAACAACGCGGCCCTCAAGGCCGCGATCGTGGAGGCGGCGGTGGCGAGCGTGCAGGCCAAGGAAGTGCTCCTGCTGGGCGTTGTCTGC